GAGGTCTTCAACCTCGGCAAGCTTAGCTGCCTGGACCGCATCGTAGGGTGGCTCCTTTTGCCGAAGATGAGTCCTCGAAGTGGGTGTGTGCTAAAGCAAAGGACAAAAATAATGCAGGCTTTCCGTTTGGTTGCCCTGCATGTTCGCGTTACTTTGGGGGTTCCGTTAAACCACCATTTCGCCTCAGATTTGAGGATGTCGCTTGCCCAGAACAGCAAGGATAGAAATTGGATCAGGTTTATGTTAGTTTGGCAGAAATCGTTGTTCCCGTTCAGGGATTGGAGAGCAACGCTGGTATCGTCCAATCACTGTTGGTTTGGGGAGGCCGTCAAAAAGGGGGGGGCCAAAGGACCCACTAAACTCAGGGCAGCCAGGCCACCAAGGCCCCCATTTGCCGATGTCCGTTGCTCATAATGAAAAAATCGGATGGATCTCATCTCCCTTGGTACAGCCTCCCCCGGCGTTTGGGGGAGGCTGTCTTCCCTTGGTCCAGTTGCCCGGGAGGTGGGGGGAGGCCGCTTGCCGTCAAAAAAGGGCGGGGGGACCTCCGCTGGGTCGAGCCGTCTTCCGCCCGAGGCTTCAACGAGCAGTTCCGCACGCTGAGCGTGGACGCCACCGAGGCGGCTCCTCGGAGCCAGAACCGCACAGCACGCCTCCGCGGCTCCAAAACCCAGCGGTCAAATTGCATAGGGAAGGAGAAACGGAAGGAACCCGTAGGAAAGCACGAGCTGGAAAGGAACATATTATTGGAAAACCATCGGAAAACTAGAAATCGGTGGGTCGTGTGGATTGCACCTACGGTGCCCCCTAAGGCCCAGTACCGAGGCAACGGTCTAACAACAAGTACGGAGGCAACTTAAGCAGTGGCTGCCTTTGCTTTAATGGAAACCAAGGAATCAGGTAGCCCTTTGGTGGTTTGAATTTGTGGTTTGGGCGGGCTCTCAGTGGGGAAGGCGGGAACTACTACAAAAGGGTCCCTTGAGGTTTCCATGGGGATCCTTCCGGTTCATTCCCAAAGCTCCAACGATTCTCTGAGAGCCAGCAGGGGGGGAATGAGCTGGAATGACTCCAACTGAACCATCCAACTTTGTTTCCACGAGCAAAAACACTTGTTGTTTTTTTGGCGAGCTTAGCGGCTGTGAACCATTGCCTTGCCACACCTTGACCCATTTCAAGGGCATCTCGTATGGTGTTTGGAGCTATGGGTGCTTAGATACCACCAAGACAAAGCTTGTAAAGCTTGTAATGCTGTAAAAAAGACCCGATAAGTTATATACGTGGTATATTGCCCCCGTACTCCAAACACCATGGCATGCGCACTGTGATTACCACCTTTTCCCCGAAGGTTTTTAGGACATGTGAAGGTCGTCGTTTTTGTGTTCCGTTTTTTTTGGCATTTTGAGCTTTCTGGTTGCGATTCCTCACGGTGGCTGCCCTTTTTTTGGGTGGCTCGGTTCCCCTTTTTTTGAGGCGCAGGGTACCCCCCTGAAAAGAGGGGGAGGTTTAAAGAGAAATCACAAAGCCTTTTGTGTGTGGGGGCTGGGGTCCTGTTGAAAAAGCAGGACACATGCAGATATAGGGTCCATTCTCTCTGTAAAGCAACATTTCGTGCTTCCAGCGAGCCAATGTTTAGTCTCCGGGGCCATCTCCGGGAGCAAAACCGAGGATGTGTGTGTGTGTGTGCGTTATTGTCCTAGCTGGTTAGACTCGGAGCTTGGAGCCTTGAACCAGGAGTCTTGTGGTTGGGCTCCGGGAGCCGGGTATCCACCTGTTTGCTTTTGTAGAGGCAGCTAAGGAGCTAGCGATCGGAGTCTTCTAAGCACATGATGTAGTTTGAGGGCAGCCGTTTCAGGTTGGAATTGTGGTCTCCTCCAGCACAGTGTTCATTTGTTCTTTAAATAATAGACGAAGTTTGCGCTGAGGCAGAAAAGCATATTTTCTGCGTATCCCAGACACCCCATGAAATAATCCAGATTAGCCCTAGCATTCCCATGGTTGTCAAGGGCCCTACAGTGAAATCACCCAAGGGGTCCAGAATGGACCCAAATCAGACCTTGGGCCCTCCCTTCCCTCTCCAAAGCGAAACAAACCACAAAGCACCCACAAGGGCACCACCTTCCCCCCCCCCCAACAAAGCGAAACAAGCCGCAAAACACCAACAAGGGCGCCACCTTCCCCCCCCCCAACAAAGCGAAACAAGCCGCAAAAGACCCACAAGGGCACCATTGGGCGCTAAAAGTCGACAACTCCATATGAGAATCCTCGTCGCCGTTCGCCCAGGACGAGGCCGACTTCGGCCAGCTGGGCCGCCACTCGGCGAAAGCGCGTTGGATCGATCGATCGAAGCTCTAGGAGTTGATTCCTTGTGCATTCTGTTCAACCATCCTTCTTTTCGACGCAAGCAGCATTCCAACCATTCTGTTCAACCATCCTTCTTTTCAAAAAAAGAAGAAAGAAGAACAACCGCCGTTTTCCCGGGGTTTTCGGAGGTTTTCTAGAAAGAAGGATCCCTGGAGAAAGAATGGAAATGGAAGGTGCCGCTGGAAAAGCGCGTTGTTGAGCCCAAGCTTGTTTTGGCGAAACAAACCTACTTTTAGCGCTTGGAGTCCCAGCTGTGGGTGGATCCAATTTGTGCCAATGATGTTGCTGGAGGTCAAAACACAGGTTTGGGTTTCAACAACCGGGTTCTCGGGACTTGGGTTTCAACACCTGGGTTCCCAAACATGCTGTTTGCTCCCCTGCAAGTTATGCGTCATGGTCGAAAGGTCGTCCACCGCCTCGAGATCTATTTTGCTTGTGAGGAATTATGATCACTACGCACACAATGAGTGTTGAGGAGATTCCTCTGACATAAATGCCAAGGAGATTATATACCTTTTGGCAAGAATGGCAACTTGGTCATCTCTTTTGCCCAGGTTTACAAACGGGTAGGCAGTTTGGATGTTTGGCCAGTTAGCCGAAGGATGTTTAGATGTTCCCGCCAACCACAGAAGTTTGTTTTTCTCATCGCCCCCGGAGAATGTACGGTTGGGGGTGGTGAAGGCGCCTTTGCGCAACGGCAGGATTGAATGACTGATGTTCTTGTCAGTGCGCATTAGCAAAGTAATGTATTTCATGGGGCTGCCAGGCATCGTAGAATTTGGAGTAGGCGATGTTGTGTTTGAGAACCACCTGAGCCACAATCAAAACCCGGGTAGATAAGGGGCAGTCCCGGCCAGAAATAGTTGCGGAGATCCGCCTTCTTAATTCTTTACATGGTTCTGGGGTTACGACCATTTTAATACCGGGTTTTGAGCAAGTGACTCACCTGTTGCGGAAGTGCCTGACCTCCGGGACTCCGGGCCAAGGGGATCTTTCGAGGGAATATATAGATAGATTGTTAGATTTTAGAGTTCTGCTTTAGAGTTATGTTTTGTTTGCGGCATGTGCGCCCACAGACTTGCAACACATCCAATGTTTTTGGCCCTGAGACGCCCTTTCAGGCAACGCAGGCACCAATATCACTTGGTTATCACGCCTTCTGTGGCACGCAGCTAGGTCAACCATAGCTCGAACTCAGCCCAGGCAAGCGTGAAGTTCTTGAAGAGGTTCGAAGTGAACTGCATTGGTCAGTTGGGTAGCCCACCGCAGATGACTTTGGGTAAGAACCAAGGGTACAGGTTCTCACTTGCCAAAGGTGTGGTGTTGGCCTTAGTCAAGGCCACAAAGGTTGACCTGTCATCAGGTCTGTGGGCAAAGGAGGATTCCACGGGCAAGTGGGTGGTTATTTCCTTTGTTCTTTTCAAGCGACCCCAACAGGTTGCTTGTTTTTCTCCAGGAGACCTGAAACAACCCAAAGAACCACTCGTGATCCAAGTCAGAAGCTTCCCGGAAGCCTAGTACAGGCGTGAACTCGCGCAAGCAAGGAGCTGGCTACATCCAGCAGCACGTCCACAGGCGCCTGCACAATCGTGCAGCGCAGCTGAACGACAAGGACCGGGTTCCGATTCACAAGCCCCGACTGCGTTTTGCGAATCGATGTTTTTTGATTTTTGTGCAAGAGTCAGAGGTGAAGTGAGCCACAATCAAAACGCGGGCAGATGAAGGTTAGTAAGGGATACTCCCAACTTTATATAAGTAGCTTCGGCTGCCTTGGTAATTCTTTTACATGGTTCTGGGTAGACCATTTTAAGAGTTGTGACTCAAGTTGCATTGGGCGGCTGGATTTCCGTTTTTGACCCCGTTCGGTTCTCCGGCTGGTGCATGCATGCAAAGCAGCGCCATGCAGCGCCCAACAGCCCCATTCGCCATTTTAGTCGCTTCTACTACCTGGTTTCAAAGTGGGTGATAGTAAAGCCCGTATAACCTCACTCCCCTGAGTTCTTGGACTTTAGTCACTTTTTGGGGTTGGACCATTTTAGTGGGTAGACATTAAAAGTTTGGGGGCTTGGCCTGTCGATCGGAACTGAGTAAGCCCTTTACATCCAACAGTGAATGTGGTGCACCTCGGTTTTTCCAAGCCAATCTTTTGACCTGTTGGCTTCTCAATGTTGGCCCATATGTAGTCATAGACCCAAAAGCTTAACCTTTTAGTTCCAGGTCGTTTGGGCAACCGAGGCAATCGGCTCACGTCGGGAGGTGAGTTGAAGCCTCAGGACCTGCTGGAGTTGGGGAAGCTGGACTTCAATGAGCAGTTCGTGGTGCTTCAAACCCCAGGCTCCGGGTTTTCGGTTTTTTGGTTTCTTCGTGAGGTTTTTCTTTTTTCTTTTTTTTCTTCTGGTTTCTTCGGCTGGCGGAATGTCTGCAGAATTCGAATCCACTGGGTTTTGTTCAGCGATTTTGGCTTAACGCCCCCCCCCCCCCCTTGGGATTTTTAGGAATTCATCGACATGGGTGGCAGGAATTCGATGTTCCCCATGAATGGCCCATGGGAACTCCTAGATGAACATTGCCAGTCCAAAGGCATGCATGCCTTCTTTTACTTCAATGCCTCCCTTTTCAACAACGAAGAGTTATTTTGTCCAGAAACCCGGATTCGTCTGGAGTAAAGCCCCAAAGGCTCTTTTTGGTCTTCCCCGACTGGGAACATGTCCTGTGGCATCCATGAGGTCAAGACTAGCTTCATGGTTGAGGGAGGTTCTACGGAATGAGCTGTGGCTGATGTGCGCGCATCAGAACTTGTCATAGCCAAGAAGCTTTTTGGGGGAACCCAGCCAACTGTTTTTGAGTGGGGGCTGTGCATGGAGTTGGATCACTGGGAGAATCGCTTTCTCCCTAATCCAGGTGTCTGAATCCGGGGTCAACATTTCGAGGACTCTGCGCGCTCCCCGTCAAGTTCTGTAAGACCTCAGCCTCCCCAGAAAATGGTATTCAACCTCAGGAGGGATGGTTTCCCGTGTGTGTGTGTGTGTGGCTCAAATGCAACTGGGAACCGCAGGTAGTCTTTGTTGACCCCGGATTCATCACTTTCACAGGGGCCCTCACCTCCATATTGACAAACTGGGGTTGATCAATCCGGGGATTTCAGCAGGGCTCCTTAAAAGATCTCCATTTCGCAACCAGTTGAATCATGCGGCTCTTCTCAACACCAAGATAAAGAAACATATTAAATGGAAACCACCCATTTTACAACTCGCAATGTTTGCTTGTTCAACACCAAAGTAAAGAAATGGACACCACCAGTTACAAATGTTCGATCGGTGTTTCTCAGAAGCCTCCGAACCCAGGCCCAGGGACTTGGACCGTGGATCTTCGGATTCCTCGGCGTCGGTGATTTTCCTTTCGACCCGGAAGCTTCGGTTGGTGGTGGGGAAACAAATTGGTGTTCCCCAGTGGAAAAATGGGGTGTCCCTGGTTGTGGTTGGGAAACCTTTGTTTTCCATTTCCATTTTTGGAGCTTGTTGTGGTTCAGTGGTTTGTTGGGAAACATTTTTCCATTTTTGAGCTTGTTGTGGTTTAGTGGTTGAAATCCGAATCCACTGAGCTGCTAGAATTTGAAGTGTTTGCTCCCCTAACCCAACGTCAACCAAGGGACGCCGACTAGGGAAAAACAAAGACGAGGCAGCCATATGGACGAGCCATCAAGCATACTCCGTGCACGCGAATTCATCCCACGCGGTGCTCGCGAATCCGGCGAATCCGGGTGGGATGCCGGGTACTGCTGCGAAATGGAGTTTGTCCATTTGCAGCCTTAGAAGTCACACCCGCAAATACATGTCCGCCAAAGCTCAGTAAAAATAGGGGCTATAATCAAAATTACCAGTGCAAAAGCCAACGAGGAGTCCCAAAATAATGAAGACACAAAAAGTGTACTTCGCGTCCCATGGATTGTGGGGTTCACGAACAAAACCTTCCAATTCTGCGAGTTGGATGTTTCCCGACCATTTTTTATGGCTGGAGTTCACGGTGGATAGGTGTTGGGGCCGGTTTCTGTGACACCAACTAAATCCTCCTAAGTGGCTCTGAATTTTCATGGGGAGCCGCCTCAAAAGTGGTGGACAGGTATCCCCACCTACATGATATGAAATGATGTCCACCAAAGGGTGCCCAAATTCAAACTCAGGCCCAAGTCGCAAGCTCTTTGGATGGGAATCCCAAAGGAACCGTCCCGGCTCCAGAGGCCCCAGGGAGACAGGGGAGGAGGAGGCGCAAGCGATCTTCGGAGAGGCGCGGGTTAAGTGGGTTGCGGGTGCTGCCGGTAGCTGCCCATTGGACGGGTCACCCAAAAGTCCAAAGGTTGGTTTAGAGAGAAAGCACGGAAACCATTGCAGGAGCCCCCTGTTTTTTTTGGCATCCTGCGCCCTTTAAATGGGGTCCAAATGAATAGGTGTTTAAACAGTAGGCATTCATGGTTGCAAGAGGTGGTTTTTACTCTTGCTTGCTTGGCACGGTAATTGCCCTTGCTTGGCTTAGAGAGAAGCCAGCACGGAAACGATGTTTGGGGCCCCCGTATTTTGACACATACCCAAGTAGACCCTTGGCCCCTGTAAACGGAGTGCAAAAGAATAGGAGTTTAAACAATAGACATTCAAGCAGGGAGTTTAAATCGCCCAACCCTGACACAGCACTACCCTCCCAAGAAGTGCTTCGCATATCGAGGCTGCGCTGGTGATTTCAAAGTGTTGGCATTGTTTGTGTCTGTTCACTGTTGATGGGCGGTAAAGAACAACTGGTACATACTGGCACCTAGCACCACCCGCACCAAGAAAGATGGACGTAGGTCCCATTCCGACAATAAAATAGTCTTCAGAGGTTCCATGCGCGCCCATGTTCGTTGACCGCAGGGTAACTTATTGGAATTAGGTTGTGGGTGACTTGACCCAATCAAGCCATGACTTTGCAAAACATGCACCCAACCACTGTAAGAATAATGGTTGACCCAATGTAGATGATGAAACTCCTCAATAAAAAAAATACTGGTGATTATATTGCCTCCTTTAATGGTGATTTGAACCCCAGGGTGCACTCTTGGGCACAAACTCAGTTTAAACAGGTCCGAAGGCTGCAGAAACACATTCACAAGGCCTTTGAAGATGTTGAATTTCCAGTCAGGTCCTATGCTTATTGGTACGGTTGTCCCTTTCACATGCTTTCAAATTGGAATCATGTGTTTGTACCCTGAAAGTGTTGGTTGCATCTTGGTATGGCATGGCCAGCATCTTTAACGAGCCATAGGAGCCAATGTCCCGCGTCGCTCTCAAGGCAGCCAGAGGCAGATATTTCTCGTGGCCATCAGGTTCGCTAGTTGGCTAACTTTGGTGAACGAAGAGGGCCAGTGTGGAGACAGTCAGCTACGATACTGTGGACGAAATCCATTTCGCACCACCTAAGAATAGAAGAATGATTCCCCTGTAAATACCAAGAAACCATGGTTTCAACCATAGTTTCGAAGTGGTGCGAAATGGATTGCGCAACCATCCACAGTATGGGTGACTTTTGGTGCGTGGACCTCCAAAATGGCGAAGTTGTCCTCTGAGGTTTTCCTTGAAAGACCCAGCAAAAACGGGCACTCTCAACAAGACACACCCATATGGCCATGGGTGATAACCTATGCCTCCATTTTGGGGCGGATGAACACCCATGTACCACCTATTTTGATGTTCAAGTTGGCAACCTTCGCCATGTTAGGCGGCGCGGCTTGGCAGTCAGTTTGAGCAGAGACAGAGACTGTCAAAACAACATAAAACTAGCGCCACTTTCGATCATCTTCGGGCAATTTTCTCGCCGCATAATGTTGACCCCGGATTAATAAACCTCTGTTTATGAATATGGGGGGTGTTCCTCTCCAAAAGTGGTGAATCCCCACTGAAACCGAGGAACCTTCCCCCGAATTCTATTAATCCGGGGTCAACATTAGTTTGGGGCCAGCAACAAATGCCGACCATTCTCGTCAGTACGGCCAGGCCGGCAGAGAAGGATACTTGCAGCAGCGGGTCCACAGGACGGATGACTTTGGCTGAATGTGCAAGGGTGTTCAAGGTTCTAGGAGTACCTTTTGCAGTCTCGCAGGGACCCTTCTTTCGCCGGTTTGTGAAAGGAACGACAACAATATTGGGGAAGCTAAACGGCCCCCCCTCCCCGCTAGTACTAGGATTTCGGATTTTCCAAAGTCGGTTTTAGTATTAGGGGACTGTTTAGCATTAGGGAGAAGGGATTACCTTTGCATTCTTCCAGGGACCCTTCTTTCTAGAACATCTCCAAAAACCAAGGACAACGGCCGGGTTTTGAACAGAACGATGCACATAATGGGGAATCAACAGCTAGAACGATCCACCCGTTTCCGCCGAAATGGCGTCCTTGATGTGTGTGAAACGCCCAACCGGGGTTCCCCCTTGCAATCCAAAGGACAAGATCCTTTTTGGAGGGGGTTTCAAAGAGGTTGAGAACTAACGTCAGTCAGAAGTAAGCTTTCATAGTCCGCCCCTTGTACATAAGGGAAGTTAGAATGTGGTTAGAATGTGGCCTGCATTTGTGCCGCGTCATTTATTTGTCCTCTTTCTTGCTATGTTTCCAGAGTCATGCCCCCTTTTCAACTGGGACCTTTGAGAAGCAGGAAGAAGGTGTTTTTTCCAAGCTCGGGTGAACGTGTTTTCAGACAAAGTAGGCCGGTTCACAAACCTCATTTTGGCTGGCCTGGGCCAATCCTAGCATGCCGAGTGTGTTAATTTAAACCATCTTTGAAAGCAACTGACTGCGATCCGCGGGCCGCAGGTTCGCGACTGAAACCCCTGAAGGTGTCTAAGGGTAAAGGATTGCGCTCACCGCAGAGGAGCAACCTTCGTCCTTCGTCCTGGTGGGGAAATATGGGGTGTCTCTTTTTACGGGACCCAGCAAAAATGGTGGTTTTTCTCGTGTCGTCCCTTCAGCACCACCAAAACAGGTTAAACGGTGAGGCCATGCTTCAGGCTGCCCTTGGGGATGCTTTCACCCCACATTCTCTCAAAGGCCTCAAAGCGCCCGGCTCCACACTAGTTGCCAGACATTTTTCTCATCTGTTTTTTTGCGGGTGGTCACAAATGGGTACCCTTTTTGGGCCGTGGTTTAGGTGGGGCCCGCCTTTAAAAGGGTCCATATGTTTGACAACCCACCTTTTGGGTTTCCTTTGTTGAATTGTCCTTTCAGCAAGGGGACCAAGGCCAGGGCAAGAAGCCAAGGGGTTAAGCAAGCTGATGCGGATGGATTCTTTGCTTTTGGGTGGACTCCTTGACTCGCTGGTTCTCAGCGAAAGCGACGACGCCTAGAGCCCATCTTATGAATTTCCTTAGGATCCATTCCCAAAAGCCCTGTTGATGGAGAACCAGCACAGTTGAACAATTCCGACTCCTTGATTTCTCAGAATCACGCTCCTCTAAACTAGTTGGGGTTTCCTTTTTTTCTGTCTATACCAGCCAAAAGGGCTCCTGTCCGGGTTTTATGTCTCGAGACCCTCCCGACTCATAGGTTGCATGAGGGCTCCTGCGTGACCGCGCGTCAGACCGTCACGAAAGCGCGACCGCGCGAGGATGCTCCATGCCCACGTAGTGCACCTCTCCAACCTGGAGCTGGTGAAGCTTGGGGAGATGAGCTTCAGCGAGCAGCCCTTCGGTCTCGGTCGGATCGCGGGATCGCGACCGTCGCGGGCGGGCGATTGCGGGGAGTCGGGACGTCTGGACGTCGGGCGAAAGGAAGTCGCTGAGAACAGAGGCGCCCTTGGGCCTGGCAAGAAAATCGGCAGGGGCTGAACATGGAACCCAGCAGGGAGATGGTCCCTTTTAAAGGAACATTGTCTTAGGTGTTGTATGGCAATAGGCTACACTAGGGTAAATTTGCATAGGGCGTGAATCCGCGGGTGTAACAGGAACACTCTTGGAAGATTAACATGAAATCCAACCGACTATCATGTGTAGAATCTCCTGTTGGGTTCCATGTGTTAAGCCCCTTGTGCTTGGGAAGAAGGGACACCAACGGGGAAGCCACCTTTTGTTGGGGTTCTTGTCTCCCTATTTTGAGAGGCTCCACGTGGCTTTGTCAGTCATGTTCCACCCAGATGCTACGAAGGGGCTTTGGCCTTTAGCGTTCCAAAGACGATCGATCGCTGCGGTGTTAGTAGGGAACCCCGTTTCACTGAGGTCTCCAAAACTCACTTCCCGCATTCCTGAACTTTTAAATTTTGGTTTGGACCAATTTAGTGGCAAATACAACGTGTGATGACTTTCTTGGGGCCATCTACTCAGGAAGTGCGAACGTATTCGTATTGCCCAACAGCTGAAAGCGCTGGGGTCTCAGCCCAGATAGGCTCACCGGTGTGTATTTTTTGGGGTAGGCGGGTAGATTTGGACATTTTTTGTAACATCTCATGTTTGGTATACCAACAAGAGGGCCAAGTTCAGGCCCCCAAAGGAACCCGACTTCTGGATGGTTTGAAATTAAACTAGCTTCCCTTGAAACCAAGGAGTTTCCCTGGTCTGTTTTTTTGAGGGCAGGTTTTTGTTGGATGGTTTTGAAGGGACGCCAACAGGAAAACCGAAGAAGAAAAAAAACAACATGTCGACGCGGGCTCCCACTCTCCCACTCGCATCCGTATCTGAGGTTCACCGCGTTAGGGCGTCCAGGGCCAAAGCAGATGGACGCCAGGGCTATGAAGTACAGGCGGGCCCGCCTCGCTTCGCGGCAGTCCCTCAATGCCCATGGAACTCCAGCCACGTTTCGGGGAAATTGAAAAGAGATGGCGATGGGTCAAAACCCAAATCGTACCCCACAGTGAACATCCCAATCCCCACTAAAATAGACTGCACCTACCCTAAAATGGTACCATTGGTGTTGACGCAGGGCCAGATCAGGTAATGAGTCGGTGGCTTGGATTTGGATCTGGATTCAACCTCCTGGCTCCTGTAATTTGAGGGCTTGCATGGGGCTTCCCAGCCCATTTCACCACCAAACCACCCATCCAAGCACCAAAAGTGGTGATCGTTTCAATGTACGCCACCAGTAAATCGCAACCAGTGACCCCTGAGAGGGCCCGTCATCCTGGTCGTCCTTGGGATAATTTTCACTCACTCCTTGAGTTCCCTCCACCCCAGAGCACCTTTCAGAGTAACACGGCCTGAACTCACCAACCCTTCGTTCGTCTCCATGTGGGAGGGTGCAGGGGTATGGGATTCTAAAGTAGCACCCGTCAGGCACAAGGAGAGTGTACGCATCCTTCACCGATTTGCTTGAAATGGTGCAGGATTTTGTTCATCTACAGTACTGGGTCCCCTTAGTAGTTTCTTTCTCGGCTTGACCTCATGCCAGATGACCGTGGTTTGCCTCATGTACCTCGGATTAGGATTAGGGATGATCCCCCAATTTGGGAACCATTGGGTGAACGTGCATGGCACAGTTGTATCCTTCTGGTTTGGTCCCCATCATCCCCTTTCCTTGCCCATAAGGCTCTACAAAATCCCAAACCTTTTTGGGCCCACTACAAAACCATCCGCAGGCAACGAGTCAACGAGGCGAACCCAAGAAAGGCCCTGAAGTCCGACAGGCCTGAAGCCTCCAGCGAGGCCCGGCAAAAGCGGTCGACGGTCGATCGGTTCTTCTTCTTGCCTCCGCCAACGCGCAGATCCAACTTGGGACAATGACTCTGCGCCGTTGCTTATATATATATATATACACACACGTGTGTCTTAAAATAGGGAACCCTAAAAAAGGATAACTGTTGAAACTATCCCAAAAAGGCCGCCCTGCAGGAACCCATGCAGGAACCAGTGAAGCGGATGGGTTTCCTTTGGGCTTCCATCAACTGCTAGGTGTTCGGGGGACACCCTTGAACATGATTTGCGGACCTGGGCAAATGAGCAAGTGGGTTTGTCTTTTTTAGGGGACCCCCAAAATGGTGGTTGTCCTTTTGGTTTCCCTTAAACCACCAAATAAGGAGTACCCCTCAAAAAAGACAGGATTCTCCAATGACTTGGGTCTTCTTTTGAGATCGAGATACCTGCGGAAACCCTTTCGGCGATCATGGGCTGCACTACAAGTTGTCTGCTGACAGGCAATTGTGCGCCACCGACGGGCATGCGACGAAGAAACGTGCTGACAGATGGCATCTTCGTCATTGGGTCCATGTCCCTGCTTGATTTGCGAATCTCAGCCCCTTAATTTCTTATACAATAATTTCTTCTACCGTGCTTGCACTGTAGCAGAAATGGGATGGCGATGGCTGCAATTCGGCGTATCCCGCCGTTGAGGGATTCCCTCCGGCCCTACCTCACAGCTATACAGGCAGGTTTATGACCAACACCGCTCACAAGCCCTGGTTGCGGCAAGATGGGGCTTTAATACAATTCACTCACGTGGGATTGGGGGATGTCTGAATGACAGGATTGCTGCCATAGCCGTTGCAGAAATAAGTCTTTTTCGTTAAGGTCCAGTCACTTGTTACAGATGGGCTGTATGCAAACTCCTCCCCACAAGGTGTGTGAACTAATCCCTTTTGGGTGGTAATTGTTTTTCCTCTGTTCACCCCTTGAAGTGGCTGCAGGAGTTGTCAGGCAGAACGTGACTTTTCTTCAACAGGTAGAAGGTTCACCTTTTGGAGCTTCGAACTCTGGCCGAGTGAGCAATCCGTGAGTGCGCCAGGCGTCCAACCTGCGAGGCGACTCGGGGCTCGCTGAGATTCAACTTGCATTCGCTCCGCTCCTTTGGAGCGAAGGGTACCTTTTTTTTAGGTGTGGCTTCTAAAGGGACACCAAAAGGAGAACCGGAAGCCCAAAATCTGGGGTCCAAATTCCAATGTTCAGACATGGCCAGTTGGCAACCAAGAGTCTAGATGCCACATTTGTTCATGGCTGGCGTTAGCTTTACAATTGATCTCCAAAGTGACGCTCTTTGAGATTTGGGGGACAAATTGTGCAGCAGCCAGTCGTTGAGCAATCTGGATTTCCAGTGGTTTTGCTATGCCACCTGCAGAAATGATATTGGACCTGCCGAAAGTCAATTTACTTTGAGATTTGGTTGAAGTGCGCAGCAGCCATTGAACAAGCTGGGTTCCAGCGGCTATGGGGCAAACCCGTGAAAATGTTCGGCCAGATGTGAATGGAGCAATCCTTTTTCAGGCTCTAGCTGACCAGCATCCAAGGTTGCCATCGTTTGTGTGTCATTTCAGGAATCGGACCCCCCAGAAAATGGGTGGTCCGACCGGTTTCTCCTCAAAACCATCGAAAAAGGGAGCGGGTTCCCCGCCAAAAAAGACATTCCAATGCTGCTGTCACATGCCGAAAGTGTGGGTCATGCAACAGTATGTTCAGGTGTATTAATATGCATGCCCCGTTTGGTTCCCTATGCAACTGCGTGTTCTGGCCCCATTCACCAATTCACCGCAGCTAATAACAAGTATAGAAGCACGGTGAAAGTTGCCACCAGATTCCCAAATTCATCCAATTTCAGCGCAATCTCTTCCAGTGTGCAAGAAGAATTCGTGGTAGGGGAAGTAGTTGGTGTTGAATTAACATCTTGCCTTCTGCACACCAAGTTGGCATGCAAAGTTGGCACCACAAGCCGCCGAATTTGAGGAATCTGCATTCCAGAGAGTTCCGTTCCCCGTGGGCTCAGTTCAAGTCTACGGGACCGGCCGGACATGTTACCCACGAATAGCACCCAGACACTCGAGTCATAGAACGCTGGTGGAAAGGGTTTTGGAAGACGACTGGGCGTTTGCTCGGAAGCCCCCAACGTCCACTTCGATTGTTGAACAGCGTTTTGTTTTGATTTAGGGATACCAAACAGGGAGGATTGGTTATAGCTTAAGAAAATCTAGACCCTCCCCGGTAACACGGAAAGTAGTCCTCTTTATCTAAGGGCGGAAGTACATTCCCCTTGTTCATACCGCTTGGCTTCCCAGGTAACCCACGTTAGGGGTATATATTATATACCCCCTTTTTGGGGAAAGGGGTATGAACATCAGCAGGCCTTCTGGGTTCATTTGCCCAAGGGGTATGTACAAGCACCTGGCAGCTGCCCGCCACATCCCGCAGGTTTGAGTCGCCAGGAGTTCATGCAGCAGACGCTGAGACCAAAATCGGGGGTTGGACGTCTGGATGTGATACGGGTGTGTCTCAAAATAGGAATCGGACCCGCAAAAGTGTTCTGCGTTTTTGTTCCTTTTTTTTTGTTTTCCGTGGTTTCCCTTTTCAACGGGTACCCTCAATAATAGGACACAGCCATGTAAGTTGTATACCACTTATAAGTTGTATATACACCACTTATGGGGTATAATTCTACTGGGGTACAAGCTTTTTGGAATTTAGAGGGGAGCCGCAGAGCTGGTGTATCCAGAATTTGCCTAAGAGAGAGGCTAGCCGTTCTGTAGTTTGCCTTTTTGGCTGCTTGCCCTTTGGGGCTTTCGATGACTGTACCAGCTCACTTTTTGCATGGGAATCTAAGTCTGCTTAAGGAGTCTAGCTTCTTGGCAATTGGTTTGTGACCCTGGTGCAGCTGGTTACAAGCCACTTAGTTGCCCTGTAACAAGGATAAGAAGAGTATAGCCCGGGCAACGATGAACTTGCGAACTGGCTTACACCCTGAATGTCTATGCCAGATGGCAGTGGCACTCCGATGTTGAAGCAATCAATGGAAGGGAGCGGACCCTTGGTGAGAAAGCGTAGGGAGAGCGAGCATTTGTGGGTCCCCAGTTTTGGAGCCCTTCTCCCACCAGGGTGCCTCGACCAAAGCACCTCTGCCTTTTCACTTCTCAGGCGCCAGGAGTCTTCTCAACCTTTTCTTACCTCTTAAAAACACAACTTTTCAACTTTTGGGTAACATGGGCTATATGTCTGTAAAAGATGAACTTCCCCAGGGCTTGGAGTTTTAAGGGGTAAGTTTTGAGTCCTTCGGAGCATCACAGCTGTGTTTATCGACGTATGCGTCCATTCGGAGCTGCAGTCAAGGGCTCATGTCGAGAGTCTCCTCGCATGAGTCAACTACAAGCATTGCCAGTTGTCGGCTTGGGAGCACGAACAGGGGAGATTGTATAAACGTTCCACAAGTACGGGTCAAGCCCAGCCCCAATCTGCCGATGTCGCTTTCGGGGAATCAAGTCACTCTCTCCGTCGCTGGATCGGGCCGCACCCAAACCCAGTTGGTCAATTTTGTTCAACCCAAAGAAGGACCCTTTTTGGGGCAGGGTCACCGTTGAAAAACATGGAGTGTTGAATTGTATCAAACAGCTTAAATGACAAACATGGATTTAATACAACCTTTTCTTGCATAGAAGGGATGCAATTGTTTACATCTTGTTGTTTGCTTATCACCTGGGCACATGCCATAATGCTTTATTTTGCCGCACACTGTACTAAGGCGAGTGCATCGCAAGCTGCATGCGCAGGCCGCCTATTTGAGTGCCTGCCTTAGTTATTTGGACGACCCGCTTGTTTCAGTGTCCTTCCATTCGCTTAAACAAAAAAGAAGCCTTTTTGGACCTCCTGAAATGGCTTCCTCATGGCTTCCCCTTCAAAGGCCCCTGGCAAAGGGACTTGTTCAGCTTTTCTGGGGTGTCCTTTTGGTTTCCCTTCAAAAGCGACGCGCAAAAGGCGGGGGGGCGAGGGTGAAAACGTCAAGATGCTCCGCATGTCCTGGTTGCCTTGGAGCCCAACATGGGCTGCGGTCGCTCGATAATTTTGAGGCGACGCAGAGCTGGGAAGGCTCGGCGCGCTGAGCTTCAACGAGCAGTTCGACGCCCTGTCGGCCTTGCAGGCGGAGTGCGTTCCGCGCGAGAAGCGCCGTCGAGCCACGAGCCGCGGTGGTCGCGGTTGTCGCGGTGGTCGGTTTTGTTTTTTGCTTCACTCGCAAGGGCACGGAGCTTACTGGTTGGAAGTTGGGAAGGCGACAAAGCCGGCAGGGAGCCGGCAGGGATTGGAGGTGTGCCTTCCTGGAGTTCCCTCCAAGAGGGTTCCATTTTGAGAACTCAGCTCACTCCATGTCAGACATTGGGGCCACAAGATCCAGACAGCTTGCTGGCTATGGCCGTATGCTTGTTTCAAGAAATGGGTAGGTGTGAACACTTTCTAGTTTTGAAGGGAATTGGATGTTTCCTGCTTGCATGTTCAGGTATCTAGGTTGCATGGTTTTTGGGGCCACTTTCTGTGATGCCGAGGGAATCCCCTGAAACTTGAAAAAGTCGTCTTGCGAATCAACCGCTTTATCCCAAAAGGTGGCCGTTTGGTTTCAAGTTTCCCCGCTCGCTCTCTGAGTTCCCGGGCTGGGCCAGAGCAATCCGAGAGACCAAAAAAGGTGCAAAGAACTTGAGCTCTTCTGGATTTGTGCGTCATTTTGGCGGCAAACAGTTGGTTTCTTCTCCTGTCCCCATAACTAGGAACCCACCAGAGTCAGGTTCCCCTTGATTGGTGGTTTGGGATTTCAGCCCTTGGTTCTTGTAGAGCGTCTTCTCCTTGAACACCAAACCACTGGGCTCCAAACCACCAATTAGAGGGAAGCTGACACTGGGTTTTTGAGTCTTCCAGCACACCTCAGGCAGGCTCCACACAGTTTTGAGTCTTCCATCTCCAGAAGTGCCCGTTGCAGGTGGCGGGTTTTTGTGGCGTGCTGGGAAGCCAATGAGGCTTCTACCGACTTTTTAAAGGAAACCTCAAGTGGTTAAGGGGTTAATGGATGATATCCATGGGTGCAACCAGAACAACAACTCATACCCATTGCGTGCTTTTATTTTTTGGTGATGATACCATTCGTTGCAGAGGAAATTGAGGCTTCCCTTTGGGGCAAGAGCTCCCAGATGGACATTGGACCCCCATGGCCGCCATGATCTGTGGCAAAGGGTCATACCCCCATTTTTTTCATGGGGGGATGGTTTTGTGGCCCCTCCAAAAGTGGTTCCCCATTCCCCACGAGACCCAGGTGAAAGCACCCCTATGAATCAACTGGTGCATGTTGTTTCTTTCCAGGTGTTTCCCCCCAGGTGTTTCCCTCCGGGTGATTCCCTCCGGGTGATTCCCCACTGAACCCTTTTTTTTTTTTGAGAACAAATTGGTACTGAACCCTTTTTTGAATAAATTGGTGTTTCTCTCAGGGTGATTCCCCAGGAAACTTCGAGAAAAGTACTTCATTGGTTCCGGAGCCACAGGCCCGGGAGACCTCGAAGATCCCGTCGGGGAGGACGGGGAAATCTGAGCCGGGGCGACCGAGAAGGGGAACTCGGCCGTGGCGTTTTTTTTTTTTGTTTGTTCCCCCCGGTTTTGGGTGAGTTGAAAGGGAAGCCAAAGGGAAAGCGCCGGTAGTTTTGGGGGTCGGTTCCCAGACGTCCGGTTCAACTTAGGTGTTTGGGTGTGCGAATTTCACCCACAAGAGAACGACCTTTTGGCGGCTGTGGCAGTATTATTGGTGCAGAACGACCGCCCTTTTCGGCAGTTTGACCCATGGCAGTTTGCACTTCCGCTCTTTTTCGGGCCCCCCTGAGTTTCTCTTGTGTGTCTTTAAATTGGGGACCCACAAATTTGTGATCCTTTCCCTTGAAAACCACACCGAAAAGGGTACCGGTACCCTCCACAAAAGATAGGCCCTAACGGGAAGAACTGATTGCGGATCAGGAAAACACTTGGCCTCGCCCACTTCGTTGTTCCACAGCTTTCATCGAAAGGGGGCCAAATTCAGCGGCCAAGTTGGCCTACTGGGGACCAAATACCCCATTGTGAAAATGTCCCCAAAAGGACGCCAAAAGGGGATGGATCACTTGACACTTGGTCCAGACCCAGGCTTTACTGGCTCTAAAGCAATATCTCACTTTCCCAAAGCCAACTTGGTTTCCCCTTTGGTCTTTTTTTCTCATGGCCCCAAAAGGTGATCGCCTGGTACTTCTGGTTTTTGGGCCTTGGGGCTTGGTGAGATCTGATTTCGGCCACCTAGCGCCCCAAGACCGGGATCGCCGAGGAGTGCAGCGGTGTTCGGCGGCATGGACCGGGACACTTTCATGCAGCGCCTTGGAGTTGAGTCGGTGCAATTGGTGCCCTTTCTCACCCGGTCACCGTGTTTTGGTTAGGCTTCCCCTTTTGAAATAGTCTACCGAGAAAAAGAAGAAAAAAAAGTGCCCTTTCTCACCCGGTTTCGTTTTTGGTTGGGAGGGTGAACAGTAAAACCCAACAAAAAGGGCTTCCCCAAAAAGCCACGACACCCACTTGGTCTCCCAGGAGTGCCCTTTTACCGTTTCTTTTTTGGGGAGGGTTCCCCTACTAAAATAGACAGCCGGAAAAAAAAAGAAAGAAAGAAGAAAGAACAAAAGTGGGTACCTTTATTCTAACCTCTTTGCTGGAGGACCTCGGATTTGTTTTGAGCCAGGGCCAGGATTCCATCAAAATGGTGGCTCGTCCTTGCTTTTCGCGAATCGGACCGGGACAGAGGGGTGGATGTGTTTCCATTTGGTTTCCCCCGCAAAGCAGCAACCGACAAGGGCTTTCCCCGGTTCCCCCCACAAAAGTGACGAGCCACCCATATGGCGAAGTGAAGTTCAAGAGTTGGAACCAGCGAGCTGCGATGGAATTTGAGATGAATCAGGCCACCGAACTCTGATGAATCACTTCTACACGCTGCAGCTAAATATAACCCCCGGTTGATTTGGAGAGATAGGTCATGAGTGTCCCATGGGATTCAGACCACTGGATTTTTGTCTTCCCCCACCCCCCACCAAAAAAAAGAACCACAAGGACGGGTTCCAGCTGTATGTCCTTCCTTGGTTTTGAACATCACCGTTTGGTTTACCCATTTTTTTATTGTTTATATTTTTCGTGGGCTTCTTTGTGATGAAACTCCGGGTCTTCGCCTCAAACCAGGGCTACTGACCGTCGGAGGGTATTGGAAGACGAGTTTCCTTGTGGGGAAGCCTCCATGATTGCTGGATAGAGGGTAGGGTACCCTTTTCTAGAGAAACCAACCAAACAGTAAGCTTACGCTTTGTGGCGGGCCCCCAATTTTGAGACAACCACATATGGCTGTGGCTCAAAAAACCGGTACACAAAATGGCCCCCTTGTAAATGCAACCAAAGACCAAAACCTGCGTAACCCTGGATCTTAAATTTTGAGCCAACCCCATATATCTCTGCACCAGGGTATGTAATCTGTCTAATCGCGGTACTAAGAGCTCCGGGTTTGGGGCGCTCGGATTTTGGGCGGCAAGCCCTTGGTTTGGATCGGGGCACCAACCCCTTGGTTTGGATTCCCAGCCATCCGGTCCCGTCGGTTTTTGGCTTGTTGCGTGGTTGGCGTTCCATTTAACCGACTAAAGTTAAGTTTTTAGCAGGGGATCTGAAAACGGACAGCCCAGTTCTTGTACTTGTCAAGGGATGAGTTTTCCCACCCCAAACCTCCAAGCCTCCACCAACCCGAGCCACCAACAGGGAAGCGCAAATTCCCAGAAGCTCTCTTTTTCAATGATCCTTTTCGAGGCTCAAAACCTGTGTCGGGCCGCCGACGCTCCCATTGAAGCAATAGAAAACTATTCCGTGACCGGCCTCACTTAAGGACTTCTTAGGATTCCCTTAACTTTGGTGGTCTTATGGTGTCAACCGCGATCCTTCCGATGCCTGCAACTTTGGGTCTGGCATTGCGAATTCACTGGATGTCCCCTTCAAAAGTTGCAAGTTCCTTGTGAGGCAGCGCGTCCATCGGAGACTTCACGGCATCTTGGGGAAACATGGGAGGTGGGTCGGCTCGTTTCAGCTGAGGGATCTAAACCCTCGACTGAGGGATCTAAAAACGCTTGATTTGTTATGGCGTGTTTGTTGAGACCTCTTACCCATGATCAACATTTGCGGTTGGGGGTTCCTTATTTCCGGTTGTTGGAAATTAATGATCCTCCTTTATAATAAATATATACATATGTGTTTGTCCCAAGTTTGCGGCACGCGGCAAGCCAAGGAATTGCCAGACTTGCCATGTGGTGCCATGTCTTTGCATTGTTTTCGTCCTGGGTTTTGAAGCTAAACAGGGTCCTGAACAGGGTGTCCTCCATTTTCCTCTTGGAATCTCCAACAGCGGCGATCTGTTGAATGGAAGCAACCGGTAGATTGATGAACTTTACACGGTTGCTTTCTGCTCCCCTGCTAAAAGTTTAACTTTTAGTGGTTTAATGGAAAACCCACTAGTTGGCAAAAAAATAAAGTCCTAACATCCAAGCAACATGCACCCAAGTTAAGGGGACATTCAAGTGACGCCTTGGATTTCAGACAGCACAGGCGGATCGAGGACGTTGATCTTGTTGGGAAAGTAAACGTCTAAGCTCTGTTTGTCCAGGACATGGATTTGAGGGTTCACTACTAGTCCTCGCAGCCTTCGACCAGTCTCGTTGCCGGCTAAGTGATGCTCCTCCACAAGGGCTTGCATCAACCGTGGATTCTCTTTTGACATCAAATTTGTATTTGGCTCGTATATGTCAAGAATAGGATGCTGCAAAATGGAGTTTGGTTTTCCTTTCGGTGTTCCTTCGGACCAACCCCAAAAAGGGTCCCCTCAAACAGACACACACACAAACACCGTGTTCAAACACCACATAAGAAGTTTCATAAACTATGGACCAGAGGGGGTTTCTATCTCCAAAGCTATAAAATGTTTCCTTCTTCGACCCTTTCCTGTTTCCACTTGAGGGTCTCACCTGAATCACGTAGAGACATAAAGTGACCAGTTGGCCTTTGTCTGCCACATTTGAAGGTTCAGGACCAGAGCGGGGTTCTGTCTCGAAAACTATTGAACATATTCTAGGGCATCTAGTTGGGCTCTGTCTGAATACATTTTCGGGGCATCGAGGAACCTCATACGGGGTCGTTTTGAAGGAGGGTACCGGTTTTCGGATGGTTTTAAAGGGACACCAAAGGGGAACCAACCATTTTTTGGAGCCCTAGCCCCAAGCAACACACCCATATAGATGTTTGTTTGCCATTTTGGGGTTGCCTTGAAATGAACATCTCGCAAACGCCAACCATTTTGGTCGTGCCTACTGTGCATGGACAAAATCCGGGATGAGTCGGTGGTTCATCCCAGCATAGGGTGTCATCCATCCCCAACGGGTGCAAAGCGGATATTGTCCACCCACAGTTTGCTGAGAACCCATATGGCAGTGGCTCAAAAAAATGTACAAAAAATGTACCCAAAATGGCCCCTTGATAAATGGAAGCAAAGACTAAAACCTGCGCAACCCAAGCTCTTTAATTTTGAGCCACACCCATATATAGATGAATATTTCGAGGGTACCCTTTTTGCCATTGCTGTAAAGGGAAGCCACGCGGAAGCCAACCTTTTTTGAGTGAGGCAGGATCCAATCTTCCTGCCTGATAACCTCACTGGGCGTGGGACCATGGACTGGCGGTTTCCTACCTTTTCAGAGCCCAAGGTATGTTTCATGCCAGGAATGTGCAACATGGTGTGTTGTTTTTTTGGTAGTTCCGCAAATCGTTCGTGGTTCAATTAGACGGAGATATGGCTTTTTGAGCCTGCCCTTTGTCTTGCTGGTGCTCAGTAGGGAATGACCGTTCCGGGTGTTGGGAATGACCAGTTCGGGGATTCCCTTAATGGAAACCAAATCAGGGATGATTTTATAGGGATGATTCCATTTCTCATTCCCTGCCTATCGACCCGATCGCAAGTCTTGGGTTGCTTGAATCCACCAGGGGAATTCCCAAGGAGTTCCGATCTCAGGCAGGGCTGCGGTACTGCCTGACGAGGAGCTGGCACGGCTTCTCGAGCTGCACCAGAGAAAAAGTGTTTGATCTCAGTGCCGGCACTCGGAACTGGGACCTGGGTACCCCGAACAATCATTCTTAGTTGGTACCTTCCCCTTTCCAAACAGTCCCTTCTTTCTAGAGCACCCCCAGAAACTCTGGGAAGCTGCTCTTTTTTTTAGAAGGATGGTTGAAAAGAATGGGACAGCAACCTCTAGAATCACGGAAGTGGAGATTTTGGGGCTTCAAAAGGACTGGTTGCCTTCCAAAAGCCTCATACTTCCGGATTCCAGGGAACGTACGTATGGTAAGAGTCCAATTGAGTCTTACCTGTTATAAACACAACTTTTCCCAACTTTTTGGGGGTAACATGGGCTATATGTCTGTAAAAGATTAACTTCCCCAGGGCTTGGACTTTTAAGGGGTAAGGAGTTGGGGATCATGAAGCATGTCAAAGGGAAAAAGGACAAAATGTGGTGTGCAAATCAAGGTGAAAGGGGGTACCCTCACAAAAGGCGCACACCCACAGGGCGTTCGTGTCTTTTCGTGTTGAATTCCATATCAGTGTGTTTTTGGTGAAGTGGTGCTAGGAGAATATGAGGACCCCTCTAAATCTCCGAATTTTAGGCTTCTTTTTTGTTTGGCCTTGAACCAATCTAGAGTATGTTCCGCAAAAAACAGGACACATCATGGGTTGAATGGGAACCAGAACGTCATTCACGAAGCTCTTGATTTTGATCAAGGCGTGCACCCTGTGAGAGGGGTCTTACCGTCAGCATACAATTCAGCCAATGGGTTCGTGACACGGTTGTTGTTTGATCAAAGTCAAGTTGATCCTCATGCACATTTCATCCAGTGATATATATATATATATGATATGTATGTATACTTTCCTCAAACATAATTTGAGCGGCACCCTCTACATTACTTTTGTTTGGTTCCCCAAACACGAATCAACCAACAGGCAAGGGTCCCCTTGTTCGTGCCTTCTTTTCGGGTCACGTGCCGAACGCCTTTGAGACCTCGCAAAGCTTTTGGCCTGATTTGAGAGTAGAGAGGTCACTCATGGCAAGGCAAGGCTCAAGCGCAAGCTGAAGGCTTACGTCTTGCTCAAGCAGCGTTCCTTTCATGGAGGGCTGTTTCCCGAATCTATGCATTGCCAGACTAAACGTACCTTGTTCTTTGGGTCTGTCTTTTGTAGGAATTGGAGCCCCAAGAGTGGGTGATTTTCCTCTTGGAAACCACCGACAAAAAGGTACCCTCATAAAATACAGACCCATTGGCCTTTCCAAGTTCTCTTCATGTTCTCTTTGAAGCACACACTCAGTCACTCAGCCCTGTTGCAGGGCATCTAAGTTTGGTCATGAGCGGTGTTGACCACAAATCCGGTCGGCTGAATGGCTTCAGGTTCAATCACTGGAAACTCACTCCCTAAAAGGAAGATCACACCCGTGTCTGGTTGTTCTGATTGATCTGAAGACTTCTATTTTGTTTGCATGTGTGCGCCGTGGTGCGCAATTGCTGCCTCTTGGGACCCACAGCCCATGCCACTCACAGTCACACTCGTTCGCGCCACTGGAGCCTCCTTCAAGTCCGATTAGTTTTGATTGTTTAAACATAAAACGGTCACCCAGTTGTTTGTGTTAGACCACGGTTTCGATCATGGGTGTTTTTTGGGTTGTTTTGGTCGAAAAATAGAGGGCGATGGCCCTGGTTTACCTGGTGTTTTTTCCTCATCCACCCAAAAAAAAAATCTATTTCCCACAAAAGGTAGTTTCCTGGTAGGTCAGAGGCAACCTTCTCCTCCTGTGGGAAAAAGAAGCATCTTCTCACTAACAACCAGGTAAAGAAAATTTGTTTCAGTTGGCAGACGGATTCGATGTCCTTCAGGCTTGGCCAGCTCTCCTTCAAGGACCAGTTCCCTACCCTTGAGCTCCTTGAGGCGCCCGCCGGTTGGCCGGTTGGCCAGTTGTTGGGGGCCTCTGGTATCTCCTTTTGTGTCTCAGTTCTTCAGTGGCACCAATTCTTTTTCCACTTTATTTTTGGTGGCTGCCCCACGAAAAATGGTCTTCACTAAAAAGGGTTCCAATTCTTTTTTTCCAGGGTCACTGAACAACTGAGGTGTGTGTGTGTGTGTGTGTGTGGTGTGTGTTTTGGATTTTCAGGAGGAGGATGTGAAGGGCACCCTTGTGATCTCCTTTTGTTTTGTTTGTTTTTCCTGTCTTGAGATTCCATGTGAATTTGCGGGGAAGTACGACTTTGTTTTTTGTGTTTTGTTTCTTGTTGTTTGGATTCCATGTGAATTTGCAGAAAGGTACGACCCTTCCGACTTTTGTTTTTCAGGATGATGATGTGAAGGGCACCCTTGTGACTAGCTGAATTATGTCAACCCTGCAAAGTGGGCCACAAGGCAACTGTCAACTATTGGGGAAAAGCAGTCGTGGAGGGTGCTGAAGTTGATTTTCTATGTTTTTTGCCCCGAACTTTTGGCCCAGTGAGAAAGAGGGTGCGCTGGTTTCCACGTAACCGACTTCAGATTGCGCTCAGATTGGCCTCCACTCCCTTGAAGCAGAGGTACAGCAACCACCCGGTTGTTGTTTTCAACATAGCGGATCACGTTTGGCGTGAAATCAAAGGCGACCGTTGCGATTTCGGCAAGCAGCAACTCCATTCCTTTGAGAATCCCCAGCTAAGGTTAGTGATTTGGCCCTTTGTTGTCTTCTCAGATGGGGACTAACACAACAAACTCGGCACATGGAGTTCGGAAAAGGGGATACCCTCTGTCCAACAATCATGGAAGTGCACAAAGGGGTTCCCCAAAAGGAAACTAGTCTTCCAAAGCTCCCCCTGTCAACTTCCATGATTGTTGGAGGGAGGGTACTTCCTGGAATTTCATTGGTTGTTCCGTTTTACTGTCTGAGGGGGAGGACCAAGGGCAATCCATTCCCCTCCCCAGGCAGTGGGAGAGGACAGGACTGGGTCAGTGACATCACCCCCAAAAGTAGTTTCTTTGGTGCATGTTGCTTGGATGTTAGGACTTTAACGTGTTGCCAACTTTTGGAGGTTTTCCATTAAACCGCTGAAGGTGGAACTTTTAGCAGGGGAGCAGATTTCACAACCGAGGTTTGGAGAACCCCTCGCAATCTCCCGTTAAGGGACGCAGTAGGAGTGTGTGTGTTTGCGTTCTGTTCCCTCCCGCTTGGCTCTTCCCTTCACCCCAGCCCAGGCAGGCTAGATGGCGGGCGGCCGGAGCAAAAAGTGGCTAGCGCGAGTTGCGCGAGTGTCACGCGTCCGAGCGGAGCCCTATGAGGGCCCACGTCAAAGTATGTAGTCGTTTTATGGGGTATGGGTTGCTATTTTTTGGTGGACCCCCCCCAAAAAGAAAATAACATATCTATATTTGGGTAGTTTTACGTTTGGTGTCCTTTAAACGCCAGCAAAAGAGGGTACCCTCACAAAAAGACACACCCTGTATGTTTTAGGGTTCCCTATTTGTCCCATTCTGGGTGTTGAAATCACCTTTTGGACAAGTTCAATGTGGGGTGACGGCAACTGTGTTGCTTGGGTCCCCGGAAGGACTTGTCTTGAAAGCCTTTTCTAAGAGCCTTGCTGTACCACTGTGGATAGTTGCCAAAACCATTTCGCACCACTTGAAACCATGGGAAGCCATTGTTTGTTGGTATTTACAGGGGACTTATTGAACCAGTCAGGTGGTTTCAATTGGATCTCGTCCATCCACCCGGGGGAGACTTGAAAATTGGAGAAGTAGAACCTTGATATTGCTCATGTTGGGCTTGAACTGAGCAGCATAAAGCTATTTGTAGCCCTGGAGAACCAGCAGTCAACGGGTGCTGCTCAATTCATTTGTAGAATTGTTTAGAAGAGTCAACCTTCCATCATGGGACCATGGGAAGTTTCATTGGGCTTTGGTGGACGTCATTTGCATTGTGATTCATGTCCACCAACCATTCTGGCGGGCGTTCCCCATGTACGTCGATACTCAGATGTCTAAAAGGCATAGTGGCAACATGTCCTGTTTTGACTGCATTGATACCATTGACCTGGCCGAGAGGTGGAGAATTGGCCGTTTACATTGCCATGTCCCGGAATTTGAACACTGTGACGACAGCACCCTAGGGTCGAGGGAAGATAGCGACATGTATTCTCCAAACATCCTTTGTTGGTTTGCGAACTAGATAGTTGGGTGAAGGTTGGTTTGCTGGCGAGCCCAAAGTTGTGATGTGGTGTTCCAAAAAGAAACGCTGCTCTGTTGTGTTTTGTCATTTTGGCGCAACCGGAGTTCCGTTGTTTGCATACTGAAACCAGGTGGTTTTGAGCGGTTCCCGCTTGCGGAGTTGAGCTATGTACCGACCCGGCGCCAGAGGCGGCCCGCTGCATCTTCATCTGTTGTTTAGGAGTGAGAGGAATCAGACCCCTACAATGGCTTCGGTTTCGCTTCAACAAAAGACCACCCCGCGTGGCGACTTCTCACAAAGAGTTTTTTCTGCTTCATTGGGATTTCCAGTGCAGGTACCAGCAGATTCTGCAGAGCCTGCATCTTCCGGTGACTCAAGAGCCGGACACGCCCAGGCACCCGGTGGATTTTTCCACGGAAATCACCGGGGATCTTCAAGCTACTTAGATCAAACCATAGACGGGTGTGTCCTCTTTTATGGTAGTTGAAAGGAACACCAGGGCTCTCTACTTTCAGACATACCCATTTCCCTTGTTTCAGCTTGGAGCCCGATGTTTTTTGGGGCTGGGGGGTAGTTTCCCATGCAAAGCCTCTACAAGAGCCAAGGGGTTCGAATCAAATCCAAGCCACCAATCCAAACCACCACTTCAGGTTTACCTGACTGGTGTAAGGCACCGATCGCTGCTGAACCTCAGCACCTGCCATGGTCCAGCACATTGTGACTTTCAGACGTCGCTGGTGGATAGATACTGTGGTGACCTGGATGATGAGGCTCTCCTGTTGCAGGAGGTGACTCATTGTGCCCACGAGGGGTCTGCACCTATGACCTCCCGCACGTATCCCGACAGATGGTTCTAGTGGGTAGCACAATCACTTGTGACGGTTGTTTTCTCATCGCTTATACCCACCATAACGGCATCGCTCTTGCCGGCGAGTGCTTGTCGCTCGTACCCGCCGACGCGCCGATTTGTTGACCAGAGCGAGGAAGGGCCAAGGACCCGTGAAACGCAGAAGCGAGGACCGGCAGCACGCGCGAGCAAAGCGAGGATTGGCCGTCGTTTGAGCTGGTCCGCAGAGCATGCCCTGGCGACTGGTGAGGCGTCAGGCTTCGGTGTGCCACGGCTGTTTAGCCTGTCGCAGCTGTCTAGTTCACCCCGTTCTTGGCAGCATCAGAGGCCAGCTGTGGCAACTGAGCGGTTCGGTTTCTTGCAGCTATCTGCTTGGCAGCGTGACCAAGAATTGCAGCGCCCAAGGCCACAGAACAAGAAATTCCAGCCGCGCGAGCCATACCCCGAACCATGCCCTCGAGTCATACCCCGAGCCACACCTGCGATTCATGCCCCCTATACCAACTTGCCGGCACGGGCACGTCAACCAAATTCATACCCATATAAATAAATATTATATATATATATATAAACGCCCGGCGCGGCTTTGCGCCACACTACAGATGATTGAATATTGAGCGGCGCCCAAAAAACCCATTGGCAATTTTAGTGGTCGGTCCTATTTCCTGGTTTCATTGGGTCATAGTAACAAATATGAACCTTTATAACCGTCGTAGTACGCTTGTTCAATGGTCAAAGGGCGCTGCTCAGTTGCTCTGAGATGGCGGTCAAAACGACGCACGGGCGCCAAAACAGCACCTGCAGCAGCACCCCAAACTGCATGCCCCCTGCACCCTGCCGTCAATGTTGCAAGAATGCGCCTGCACCGTCACCCGAGAGCACCCCAAACAGCCAAACACCCAGCTGCACCCCAAAACGCCACCTGCGCCAGCACCCCAAGCTGCATGCCCCCAAATGTGCCTGCACCGTCACCTGCATGGGTGGCGCCCGGGCGTGAATATCGCAAGTTGCGCCCACACCGTCACCAGCACCCCAAACAGCCCCCCGGCATCCCAAAACACCACCAGCACCAGCACCCCAAACTGCATGCCCCCGTGCACCCTACCGTCAAGATGCAAAAACACGCGTGCACCGTCACCCCCAAAACAGCGCCTGCGCCAGCACCCCCAAACTGCATGCCCCCTAGCACCCTACCGTCATTCAATCTTGAAAACACGCGCCCTCACTGCCATCAGCGCCCCAAACAGCGCCCCAATCCGCAAAAACCAGCACCCCAAACTGCACGCCCCTTAGCACCAGCCCATCAATCTCGCAAATCACTTCCCCCTCTTCATTAGAAGTTAGAACCCCTATAGCTTTCGGCTATCTGGGGAATGATTCTTTCCGCCTAAAAAAGCCTAAAATGACAAATTGCATTATTCCCAAGACCCCCTAGCCAACACCCAGGCAACCCGGCATTTGCACCTCTAGGTTAAGTATATATGCATATATATATATATCTATAAATGCATGCAACTATACATTTGTATGCAGAAACAGACATATATATATATATGTATATATATATATATACATATGTATATATGATGCTTTCTTCTCCTGGTTACCTAAGCCTTTGCTACGCGCCGTTCAGCTCGCCGGCGTTTTTCGAAAAACGAGCGCAGGCCCTCGCCGGCAGAGCTGACGCCCGGGTTTCGGTTGCGGGTGCAGTGGCCGGGCTTGCCCAGCATGAAGTTTCGCAGTCATTGCCAGAAGCGTGGGGTGGATTTCTAACTTTTTGAGTTCCTGGACTTTGATGTTTTTGGGTTTGCACAATTTCGGTGGCAAGGAACAAGTGTAAGCTTTGTTGGGCCAATCCAGTCGGGACGTGAGTGGCTCTTTGTTTGTTTTTTGTTAGGAAGGAGGACCACCATGTTGGCTCGAATCTTTGATCTGACATTCAGGTCAGAGGCTTACCTCGATGGGGTCCACCAGCCCCAAACCTCCAAGGGAAGTCAGGGTGTACACCCTTGAGTGGCTAGATGTTGGCTGTATACCCCTCAGGGTGGTTTGGGGGTAGTGGGCACCAACTCAGGTTACCTCATGTACCGAGCTTCTGGACTTTAATCATACTTTTTCGGAAGACAATGTTAGTGGTAAGCAACAAGTTTAGATTTGTTTTGGCCAACCCACTTAGGAAGTGAGTTTCCTCTCAACGTTTTGCCTTTGGCGGTTTTCTTGAAGTCCCCTTTCAACCAGCAAATGTTAACTTGTTGTAGGGCGTCGGATCGAGTCGGATCTGCTTGGCTAGTTTAGGTCACATTGGACCATGTTGCATCGGAACCCTCAAACTCAGAGTTCCCGGACTTTATTTGTTTTTTAGGGTGTGAACCGTGGTGGGAAGTGGAAGGGAAAGAGACAAGTGAGCGAAGGAAGGTAAGGGTTAGGATATGAAGAGAGAATAAATGAAAGAAGATAACCTGCTAACCCTTCCTTCCTCACCCTCCCCTTTAGCTCTCTTTGTCCTGTCTATCTCTTATCCCTCCCGCCTTTCGGTCGTTTCGGATGAATAGACAGGAGAGTGCTAAGGAAGGGCTATTTGTGGCAAACAACAGTTTGGTTTCTTTGTTGGGCCACTCCAGACAGGAAATTAGTAAAGGGCTAAATAGGTGCACAGATGTTTGTCCTGTAATCATGAAGTTATTTTGGTCTATTTTTTCCGACAACTCCACGATTATTATCTAGGCACTTGCAGTAAGTTTCCAGTAATTGTCCAAAAGCACCTTTAAGCTTCAACAATGTTCATCAGAAACCCGAACCTCTGTAAAATTATGTACTCCACAGCAATCAACTAGAAATGCTACATGTTGACCCCTGCTTAATAAACGCTCAGGGGGTCCCCTGGAAGAAAGCCATCCCCACTAAAAAGGGGACTCCCCCTTAATAACACGTGGCATATTACTCAGGGTTGCCATTACAACAATTAACAAGAAATCCCGAAAGTTGCAAGCAGATTATCAGACAGCGTGCATTTCATTTTGCAATTGCTTTTCCGTGGTTTTGTGAGAAGTGGCTGGTTCACTTGTTGGTGCCATTTCGAAAGGTAATAGGTGCTAGGGATTCCATGCCAGCGAAGGTCCACTGGATGGTGGAAAGCGAAGGCACCTTGGCGGGGAGACGGGAGGGGTGGCTGGTGAGACCTTTGTGCTGAGT